AGCATCCAGCAAGAGCTCGCAAATATCATTCTGAGAATGCTTTGATTTGAGTTTCAGACTGATTCCAGGAGGCAAAGGTCTTTTTTACTTTTCGCATGGGCCATGCCGATATATAGGACCAACTGCCTGCTACGTCGCGTCAGTAAGCTGATGGTTTATATTTATTGTGAAATACTATAATCTCAAACTAATTTCAGGTTCAGCTTCTTATTGCATTGTTACACATATGGTTTGTACAGTCTCGCGTTCTCATTCTGCTATCGCTACTATATATTAGTGAGACCAGTGCCAAGAGTTCGAAATATCGCTAAATTACTACTCTTAACCTATCTTCCATCTTTCATTCAATTTGTAAGTGAATCTTAGAGCAAAGTATTGTAATCTACCAACATGAGAAAAGAAGAATCTTCACTTGAACGTATAAGACGCAAAACCCCAACGATGTCTGTTTAGGTGCTATTCAGCTTTTCCATCGATCCCGAAGATGTTGTTAAAAGACGGATTACCACAGTTTTTGGTTATGATATGAGGGGGGAGTGTGTTAGCGGTACCGTGAATATTCTCAACTGGAGAGCACTACTACCAGCTCTACATGTCAGTAATACAATTGTTCCTGCATATCTCATAATTTTGGTGATGAGAAGGAGAATTGTCGCAAGGCTGTGCTCTCAAAGTACGATGTCCAGGAGCACAAAACGTCTACAAACACAATTATTAAAGGTAAAGAATCCTATAATCTCCATTTTCCTGTTTTAAGTGATTATATTATAATTATAATATTTATCTAACTGTACAAATTCTAGGCAATTACATGCCATGCAGTCATTCCTGTGTTCTACTCTCTTGCTGTAATTATGTACTCACTGGGTCAACTCGACATTCTCTATCATCCATTTTTGGAATATTTTTCGCTTATTATGGCGCATTTTATTCCTATGTTAACTCCACTGGCTTCTCTATACTTTATTCAACCTTATCGCATGTGGATCAGCAAGAATCTTACGATATTCTCTACTATACGATCTTCTATCGCTCCAGAATCCTTCATTACCTCAGTCGCGTAGACTTACACCGCAATAACACAACCTAATGTTTGAGATGCTCTTTGAAGTTTGTATGAGTATTCACTTTACAGCATATTCAAATATTAGGCCTTAATCTTATTATGCTATGGTTTTTTTTTGTTGAAAGTTCTCTATTTTTCAAAATGAAGATCTTCACAAACTTGCGGGTTATAGTCAGATACATAGAGAATGGAAATTCTTAGTATTTAATGTATAAGAATA